TGCCAGGTCCCCCCCCGGCAGACCCCCTTCCCCCTCAGGGTCCTGCCCCGTCAGGTGTGTCCCAGGTAGACGCAGTCGAGCCTGTCGAGGTAGCTGTTGACTCTGGTGCTGCTCGGGGTGCTGCGCCTGCGGGTGCCGGGTCTGGGGGTGCTGAGCATGAGCGTGCGGAGCCTGGGGGTGCTGGGACTGGGGGTGCTGAGTCTGGGGGTGCTGAGCCTGGGGTTGCTGAGTCTGGGGGTGCGGAGCCTGGGGGTGCGGAGCCTGGAGGTCCTTCAGGTGCTTCGCCTCGGCGGGAGCTACCCTCTCCACAGGAGCTGCGCGAGTGGTTTGCTCGGCGTTGGAGTCGTGCTGCTGGAGCTGGTGTTGCTGCTGGTGCTGGTGGTTCTACTGCTGCTGGACCTGCTGGAGGAGCTGGAGCTGGGGGTGCTGCTGGAGCAGGTGCTGCTGGGGGTACAGGAGCCGGTGCTGCTCCGTCTTCTGGTGGTCCTCCTGGCGCTGGAGCTGTTGGAGGTTCTGGAGCTGGAGGTGCTGCTGGAGCTGGAGCTGGAGGTTCTGGAGCTGGAGGTGCTACTGGAGCCGGTGCTCCTGGAGCTGCTGGAGTTGGCGCTGCTGGTGCTGCTGGAGGTGCTACTGGAGCTGGTGGTGCTGCTGGAGTCGGAGCTGACGCTGGGGGTGCTGGTGCTGTCCCTGCTGGTTCTGGAGGTGCTGCGCGGCCTCGGCCGTACTCCGTTCCCCTCCTTGAGCAGGTTCTTGGCCTTCCGCCTTCTTCTGGTCCTTCTCCTGCCTTAGAGTGTCCACCGTCCGTCCCGTCCGAGTCACAGTTACAGCTGGCCTGTCCACTGCCTGCCCCTTCTCCCTACGCTGGTCCTACTGGAGGTCTTGCTGAGCGTCGTGAGCCGGAGTCTCGTCCTGCGTCGCCTGTTCGTGCTGTTCGCACCGGTCGCCGTGTTCCGCGTCAGCGTCCTCCTGCGGTCCCAGGCACACACCAGATGGCACTGCGTCCTTCCACTGCTCCACAGCGTGTCCCTTTGCCGTCTCCTCCTACGTCCTCTCTTCCTGCTCTTGCTGACCCGGAGTCTGACTCTCTTCGTGCTGCCAGTCCTACTGTCACGCGTCTCCTGGCTACTGTTGTCACTGACCCTTCTTTTGAGTCCACTGCTGCGTCTGCCTTAGTTGCTGAGCTTGTCGACTTTGCTGCTCACTGTCGTCTAGACTACGCCGCCAGTCTTGTTGCTGAGTCTGAGTCTGACTGTCCTCCGTCCGTCGGGGGTGAGTGTGCTCTTGGCACGGACGTCCTTGAGGACAGGCAGTAGGAGTTCCACTGTTTTGCTGCTGCTTTACCCCATCTCGTGGCCATGCTGCTTGCCCCTGAGGGAGACCCGGATGCACCAGACATCCCGACCCCGCGCTCTTACGCAGAGGCGATAGAGGGTCCCTACTCCTCTCAGTGGCAGACAGCCATGGACGCAGAGATGGCTTCCTGGAAGTCCACAGGCACCTACGTTGATGAGGTTCCCCCCCCTGGGGCGAACATCGTCAGTGGCATGTGGATTTTCAGGGTGAAGCGGCTGCCGGGTTCTCCGCCTGTCTTCAAGGCGCGCTACGTGGCTAGGGGCTTCAGTCAGCGGCAGGGAGTTGACTACTTTCAGACCTTCTCTCCCACCCCGAAGATGACTACTCTTCGGGTGCTGCTGCACATAGCCGCTCAGCGCGACTACGAGCTTCACTCTCTTGACTTCAGCACTGCTTTCCTGCAGGGCAGCCTGCACGAGGAGATCTGGCTGCGCCGCCCACCTGGCTTCACTGGGTCTTTGCCGCCCGTCGCTGTTTCTGCGCACCGACACCTCCTTGCCGCCGTTCTACATCCTCGTGTACGTCGACGACTTGGTCTTTGCCACTACTGACACTGCTGGACTCGCCCACGTGAAGTCTGAGCTGCAGAAGAGACACACGTGCACTGACCTGGGTGAGCTGCGCAGCTATCTTGGCTTGCAGATCACCTCGGACAGAGCACGCCGCACCATTACCTTGACTCAGTCACACATGGTGCAGCAGGTCCTTCAGCGATTCAACTTCATGTACTCCTCGCCTCAGGCCACTCCTTTGCCTACTCGCCACTCGCTCTCAGCTCTGCCTTCGGATGAGTCCGTAGAGCCGAGTGGCCCGTATCCAGAGCTTGTTGGTTGCCTCATGTACCTGATGACCTGCACTCGACCAGACCTGGCATACCCTCTTAGCATCCTGGCACGCTATGTTGCTCCTGGGAGACACAGACCAGAGCACATGGATGCAGCTAAGAGGGTGTTGCGCTACTTGTGCAGTACGTCGGGCATGGGGCTAGTGCTTGGAGGGCGGAGTTCAGTGGTCCTCACTGGTCACGCAGACGCTTCTTGGGTTGACGACTTGGCAACGCAGCGGTCGTCACAGGGTTACACCTTCAGCCTTGGTTCCGGCTCTGTTTCGTGGCGGTCTACCCGCTCGTCTTCTGTTCTCGGCTCCAGTTGTGAGGCTGAGATCTACGCTGGGGCCATGGCTGCACAAGAGTTACGCTGGCTCACCTACCTGCTGACCGACCTTGGAGAGCCGCCTCGTTCTCCTCCAGTTCTGTACGTCGACAACAAGGCCATGCTGGCCTTGTGTCAGGAGCACAGACTGGAGCACAGAACGAAGCACATTGCTCTCCGTTACTTTCTTGCTCGTGAGCTGCAGCAGCGTGGTCAGCTGCGCCTTTCTTACGTGGCCTCTAGGGCCAACACTGCTGATATCTTTACCAAGGCACTTCAGCCTTGTGATCATCAGCGTTTTTGTACTATGCTAGGTCTTGTGCCTACTTGGCCTCACTTGCTTACCTCTTGACTTTGCTTGTACTGTGATCTATATATACCTGCCCTGCTTGCTTACCCTTGCTAGGTTGTGATCACTGTCTTGTTTTGTTCACCCTGCTTTATAATCCTGCATGTGAACTGGCCTTGTGGTCTTTGACTTTGTGCTCGGACTGTGTGGTGACGTTGTGATCCACCCTGAGCTTGCTTTGCTTTGCTTTGCTTGACTGGTCTTGTGACCCCTTGTTCTACCCACTTTGCCTATGGGGGTGTGTCAAACTCATATGCTATAGTCTATCTAGGCTATAGTGGGGTAGACACTATAGGGTACAACATCTCTAGGTTTCCTACTTGTACCCCCCTTGTTCCCTAGTCAATCCATTCCTTGTTCTTATTCTCACATGCCCGTGTGTGACCCCCTTCCAAGAAGCCTAATTCATAGAGGGGATGGGAGAGAATGTCTCGTACAACCCATAATGCATTTTTATTGTTTTTAATATCGAGTAACTGTTTAATTAGCTTCATTTCTCTTCGGACTATGTTTTTGTTATATTTGTAATACATGTCTGCATGTTTCAAAAGGTATCTTGCCGATCATTGTCACAAAAGTTTCAGTGGTGCACCACTATCAAAGTAAAGCCATTTTGAGCTGGACTTGATCAATGTAGATAGTTTTTTGGGATTTGCAGATTGTATTTGCTTTGTTAGTTGTTTATTTCATCGTTTATACTGCTGACTTGCCCCCCTATGGTAGGCAGGGGAAATGGTAGTATAAATTTAGAATTCAAATACGTTTGTTTGAAACTTCAATAAATCGTTTGATAAATAATACCGGTATGAGAAATGCAATGACTGTTTGGCCAGTCATTCCATTTCTCCAGAGATTGTCAGATTTCAGAACCTTATGCGTTACAAAAGAGTTATGTAGAGTAGTAATGGAATAAATTGATTATGAAGCAAACAAGTATGATAGTTACAATACCACTATCGAGTTTATATGTATCCTTTTTTTTTCTTATTATTTTACATTTTCTTTCGCGGATAATTAAAAAAGCGTGAAAAAAAAATTGCTCCGCACTTCGCCAATTCAGTTCATTTCCGGCTTGGCCTCCCTTTCTGAACGCCAGCAAACTATGACTGCGCGGACCATACCGCTATCCCAGACCCCCGCCTGCCAAACCATCTCTTTCGTTGCGGCACGTGCAAGCATCGCATTAACACACACAACGAGCTTCAGGACGCATGCATTAGCATGGTCCAAAACGCGGGGTTCATTGTCCACAGCGAGTCTGCCGCTTATTGCCCAATTGAAGAACAAACGGCTAACTTCACCATGAGGGACAAAAGCGGCGGTGCAGTATGGGTGTGCGATGTTACAATCACAGACCCAATCAGCACGAGAGATCCTAGGGCAACGAAGGGCAGGGGATGGGCGGCATAGGAGCAAGCCGATAAAAAGATCAAGCACTACGCCATTTGTCCAGAGACGGTGGACTTTGTTCCTTTGGCCGTGGAGACCTACAGCTGCCCATGTGCGGAGTTACCAGTCTTCCTCAAGCTACTAGCAGACACGGCAGCTAGGCGCTACTTCAACGCCGACTCGAAATCTTTCCAAGCCGCCAAGTTCATGCACCCGTTCTGATAAAGGTGGTCTGTAGCCCTGCAGAGGGCTCAATCTGTCGGTTACCTTATTGAATAGTGCGAGGCGGCGGCAGTTGAGAACCCGCCTGTAGGGGGGATAGGGTCAGAGTTATACTTGGAAGATTGCTTTGCTGTCATTGAGCCCCTAGTGGAGCTCTAGAGGGCTGTGACTGTTTGTTAGTCTAGGGTTTGCTTATTCACAATTCCACCTCCAACCTTGCATGCTTGTATTTCGCAAGACTATTAATACACAAACCAGATTATTCATCTGGCGGCCAGAATTTTTTCGCCTCATTCGAGAGAGCGAGAGAGAGAGAGAGAGAGGGCTAGCCTCTGCCCTCTGCCCTTAGCCTCTGCCCTTGGGTCCCTAGCTACTTAAGTGGCTGTTCTAGCTTCCTTGGCTCATTATTCATCTGGCGTGAGGGCACGGCAAGTAACGGCAAACATAGTTGTCTATATTCAAAGGCAATACACGCATGGCAAATGCGACTGCGGCCTAGCCGCGCGAATCACTAATGGGGCAAACGGAGCCCGCGCCTACATGCGGTGAGCTCCAAGGGCGTGAAGAACGCCCGTCAGGGAGCGCCACAGCTCCCGGACCACAAGCGTGCTTGCGCCGATCGCCGCGGCTCCAGATCCTGCGCGCAAGTGCCGCCTCAAGCCCCGGACAGCCTCGTCAAGCTGTCCCACAGCAGCAGCGCCACCCTCCACGGGCGCAGCCAGTACGGGCGCCAGCAGCACTGCGAGTTGGTCCGCCGCGTCCAGACAAGTGTCACGCTGGCGGCCACGGAAGGTCTCAGGAGGGATCACGGGAAGAGAGGAGTGAGCAAGGACCTGAATCAGCAGCAGCGCGTGGAGAGTCTCCGCGAGGCGGTGGAGCTGGCCGAGAGTCGTCTCGGGAACACGGGTCTGCGGAGGCTGGAGTACCTCCGCCAGGAACTAGAGCGGCTCCTCAGCTTCAACTTGGAGAGCATACGGAGCCGCCGCCGTGCCACCACCCGCGGCCACAAACTCCACTCCCGCAACGGGCGGAACCGGCGGTAGATGGAGACGAGAGCCGGGAGCAGGTGCCGAGACAGCGGGAGAAGGAGCTCGCGGCACATGGATCTGAGGGGGAGGCGCAGCGACAGGCTGCGGGTTCGCGGGGAGCGCAGCCGGACGAGGGGCCTCGTGGGCTGGCGAGGCGCGCATCGAACTGCTCTGGCTCTGCGCAGCCCTCTCCTCACGAACCGCCCTCGACACTTCCCGCTGAAGATCCGCCATCGTCACGGGCGGGCGGTACCCCCCACCCCCGCCACGAGCACGGGGACCCCTCCAACCCCCCTGACCTCCGGGGTGAGCAGGCCAGTGCGACTGTTGCTGATAATGCCGCGGAGACTCACGCCGGCGACGAGACGACTTGCGCTCCTGTTGGGGAGCGGGGGAATGTGGGCGCGACGAGCGACGGTTGGGTGACGGCGGGCGTGACGGTTGACCCGCTGGGACCATCGGCGTCACATCAGGTGCGGATTGACCCGCTGCCGAGGGCGCAACCAACGGAGCCGGTCCGCCAGTGGTGGCGGACGCCTCCTTCGGTGACGAAGCAGAGGCCGGAGCAGGCACGCCGGGGACAGAAGCGGGCGGTGCAACAGGGGCGCCAAGGACAGGCGCAGGGGGATCAGCAACACCCCCAACAGGGGCAGACGCCGACGGCTCGACAAGGGGAGCAGAGTGGCCAGGAGCCGCAGGCGGAGCAGACGGAACAGCAGCGGGGGCAGACGGGTCAGCCTCCGACGTGGCAAGGGGATCCGCGGGTGCGTGGGGAGGAGTCTTTTCAGCGACTGCTGTCACGGGTTTCGAAGCCGGCGGTAGAGTGGACTTCGTCGCCAAGGTCGCCCTTTCGGGGACCGACGGGGGCTTGGAGACGGCTGCCAACCAAGCGGCAACGAGCTCTGGCGACGGCTCAGGAGCTCCGGAAATCACCATCTCAGGCGCAGGGAAGTCGCGAGGCAGGAAGGCGAACAGAAAGCGGGACTGGCGGAGGCCCAGAGAACGGATACCAGGTGACGGCACGCGTGGCTTTAACCAACTTAGAAGCAACTAATGAGGACGACGAGTTAGCTGACCCCTCTTATAGGGAGGAAACCGTGGCCGAGAGCGAGAACGATGAGGCAGAGGAGGAAGAAGGCGGGGCGAGGGAGAGATCGGGGAGAAGGGGTGCAGCGGGGGAGCAAACAGGCGTGCAAACGCCCCAAGGAGTTCCAACCACTGCCTCCCGTGCGCGATCGGGCCGTGTTCGGCGAAATAGGACCGCGACTACAGATGCTGCGACACGCTCAGCCGCCTTGACACCCCGCTATTTTTTGCCTGACGAACTGGCGAAGCGAACAAATCTGTTCGCTCCCATCGGGAATCGGGACATCACAGCACTGTGCGACAGTCGTCAGCCTTCGCTGTCGCGGCGCTTACCGCCTAATTTGTGTCAGCTGTTCTTGCTGGCATTACTGACGCCGTTACTGCACCTCTCACGAAACCCCGAGTCAGAGACAGGATGGCGCCTGCTGTTGTTTCTCCCGCGATTAACACTTCGCCAAACCTCGCCACAACGACCGAATTGGCCGAAGATCAAGGCCCGGCTCCGAGCCTTTCAGCGTGGCGAATGGGAGCAGCTGTATCTGGACGTGGTGGACGCAGTCAACACTCCACCACCGCCACGATACCAGCCCGACGCGACAGGTGTGCTCAACCGAGCCGAGGGTCTGGCGAAACGTGGCAGCCTGCGACGGGCCGTGCTTGCCCTGGAGTCAACGCCTGTCTGCACTCTCAGCCCCGAAATCCTGGAGGAACTGCGCCTGAAGCACCCACCCGTTGAACACGAGGAGGTGACGTGGCCCACGCCACCGGGGTCGACACTTTCAATCCCCCTCGCAGACTTCGCCAAAATGTTGGGCAGATGCGAAAATGGAGTTGGGGGCGGGCCGTCGGGGATGACATTTGAACACCTGCGCGACGCGGCGATCACCAATGCACTGGTCCACACCCATCTGCACGCCTTGACCAACACCATTCTGGGAGGGAATTTGCCAGACTCGGTGGCAAACCTCCTAACAGCGTCACGCCTCATTGCTCTGGCCAAACCTGGGGGAGGCGCTAGGCCAATCGCTATCGGCGAATGTGTGACGAGGCTGGCAGCCAAGGCGGCCCTGTCAGCAATGGGAGAAGCTGCCCGCGAATTCTTTCTGCCACTCAATACGGCGTGGCCGTGCCAGGTGGAGCCGAGACAGTAATCCACGCGGCCAGAGCCTACCTGGACGCACGCCCCTCCAGCCTGGCCCTGCAAGCAGACATTTCGAACGCGTTCAACAGCATCTTGCGAAAAGCCATCGCCACCGCGTTACAGGCCCCCGCCCTCTCGCCACTACTGCCGTTCGTGAAATTAACTTACGGTAACCCGTCGCAGCTACTTCTTGATAACAATTTCAACTCCGAACCTCTGCAAAGTGAACGCGGAGTCCGCCAAGGAGACCCACTCGGCCCTTTACTGTTTGCGGCATGGGTACATGCCACACTCCGCGACTCTGCAGACACGCACCCCGGCGTGCTTTGTCTGGCATACGCGGACGATGTCACGTTCCTCGGAAATGTGGCCGACACTGTAGCCGCATTCAACCATTTTACCGCCGGTTTGGCACAACTGGGGCTGACACACAACCCACGAAAATGCGCAGCATGGAGCAGAGCCGCAGCAGTGAAAGATCAGCTTCCGCCAGGAGTGCCCTTTTCCCAGGACGGCGTGCGGCTACTGGGGAGTTTCGTGGGCCCAGAGCGCGGGGCGGCGGAGTTCCTGTCGGGTCAGCTGCAAGAAATGGCAAAGCCGCTATCTCTCCTGGAGAAAGCCGACCCCCAGGTCGCTTCATTGCTGCTCACCCGCTGTATCTCGAGACGGGTGGCATACCTCACCAGGACATCACCGCTCCACCTACTGCCTCGCGATACCTGGAGTCAGTGGGGGATGGACTTGCTTACGACGCTTTTGACTGCATGCGGCATCCGCGTTCCAACCTGCCGCTCTGAGCAAGCTCGCGTTTGGGCGCAGGCTTCACTGCCGCCGTCGCTGGGGGGAATAGGCATCACAGACCCCCTAATCGAAGGAGTGTACGGTTACACGGCAAGCTTCACACAGGCCGCGCTTTTTCTAGCATCACTAGAGTGTGCCCCGCGTGGCGCGCTGACGCAGGCCCGGGACCACATGTTGCTGCCTGCTGACGTCACCACGCCTCTCCATGCGTGGCTTGCTAGGTGCGAAGCGGAATTACCCCTTTACGCTCAGGAAATCTTGGAGAAAGAGCGGCTGGAGCGGTCAGACATTAGACTTCAACATGCTCTGGCATTACAGGTACATGGGAGCAGATATGCCGTGCAGGTTCAGGAGACACGGCTGATGACCCCGAACCCTTTGTGCGGCCACACGCAGCGGATGTACTCACTGACAGGTTACGGGACTGGGGATTGGCTGACGGCTATCCCCATTGCGGCAAACAGGAGGATAGGGCCCATTCACTTTTCCAACGCTGCGCGCTTCCGGCTGGCCCTCACTTTCTCCACGCCGAAAAACTGCGACTGCTCAGATCATACGGCTATCACGGACCCCCGTGGACTATCCGCCATGGGGAAGCCCAAGGCCCAGCCCAGCACCATGACGGTGGCCAAGGGGAAAACAGCTGCTACTCGGAGAGGATCCAGCATAGCCTCCCGTCCATCCAGCGCAGGACGGATGCGGCTGCTGACACGAGGCCGAGTGGTGCCTCCCGGGCAGATTCGGCAAGCTGCAGCAAGGCCCGAGGGCCAGGTCCAAGCGCAGCGCCAGGGTAGCCCGGCATGTACCCAATCAAGGGGAGGAAATGCAGCAGCTCCTCCGATGCAGACTCCGCCGCCGCCAGCTCCGAGGGGAGCATCCCCTCGCTTTCAAAATCCTGGCGTGCCAGGTACAAGTGAAGCTGATCAAGCACGTATGACAGAGAGCCAGGCAACTCCCCACGTTCATTGCGCGCTCTGCGACGCCGTCAGGGAGACTCCCGCCAGCCTGACTCCACCCCGCCTCAGGAACCGCAGCGTGGGGAGTTGGCGGCGTTGGCGAGGTCAACAGTCCCCACGGAATCGGCACTTCTCGCCCGCCAACGAAGAGCCGAGGATACGCACCCGCGGTCTGATCTGCCTGAGGGGGGGGGGGGGGGAGTGCGGGGGGGAGGGGACGGAAGGACAGGGGACATTGGGGGTAGAGGCTGCTGCTGCAGCGGTGGATGGAACCAACGGCGCCTTGGCGACTGAGACAGTGGGTGCGGCAGTGACTGGGGCCACAGTTGCGGCGGTACCTGGGGCGGCAGTGGTGGCGGCGGCGCTGCCCGCCGTTCACCCAGCGTCCGCTTTTGTCGGATGGGGTATCGTCGGTGTTGCCCGCGTGAACCCGGCCACGGTGGAGGGGCAAAAACTATCGGCGTTGGGGTAGCATTAGTTAAAAGGAACTATCGCCCAACCGTTTTGCAGCCCGCCATGCCTATCACGCCACGAAAACTCCACAGCATCCGGATCACAGCTTCGCCGCTGCGCCGTCAAATCGAGTAGACGCACGGGTCAGGAGAAATCCGTAGACTACACAACTTATTCTTCGCAGCTCCCCGACTTTTTTGCGTGCTGTTTCACCAGCCCGTTTTTGTTGGAGTAGAACAGTGCCGCCAGCTCCAATTTTTTGTTTTTGTTTTTTCTGTACAGCTGTCAAACGAGCACCAATCCAGGTGCCTCTAACCAGCATAGGATAGGTCCGTGTTCACCCCTGTTATTCGGCCAAGTAGGTTGACTGCATGAGTCAGAACCAGGTCTTGGTAGGGATGGTGAGGTTCAGGCGAAGTAGGGTCGCAGGTCGGTTCCACCGGCTTTCAACCTGCTCCCCACAACGTTATTTAACCCCCACTTAGCCGTCGGGAAGTTTCTTCTGGTGTGTCCTGGCGGCCTATACCAACTCCTCCGTAAAAGTCGGGCTGGTACCTTGAACGCCGTTTAATCGTGGGATGCTAGCAGCTGTCTCCGAAAACGACTTCCCTTAATTGGAGAAACCGCTCTCGAAACCGTCGGCCACTTGCAACAACACCAGGCACGCAACGTCGCACGAGTTGTTTCTGAGGTGTACCGGCCTTGGTTTCCCTCGTCGCGTGCGCCCCACTTCTGCTAAGTGCGATATGGCCACTCCGCTTTTTGTTGCAGCAAGTAAGTGTCAGCGGGTCTGAAAATCCCGTCTGTCCACGTGCGCTCCTGTCGAAATCTTTGATGACGTGCCCGCCATGCAGTAAAAGCCGCTGCACTTCAGGGCGGGCGGGACGGCAGTTGACTCTGCATAAATCGGGCAGTTCGCATGTCGTCTCTCCTCGCCAGCCGACTTTTCTCAACAGTAGCTCCGAAAATGTCGCCAGTGCTGACGCATGTCCGCTCTCGCCAGCTGCCGAAGATCTTCCAAGGATCTAGGATATCGCGCACATGTTGACGGGGTGCCACCGACGTCAAGTGCCGCGTAAGGACGATCCCCAAATCATCGCGCAGCCGTTGGCTTAGGTCCGACGGCCTCAACAGCCATCCATGGTGACGACGTCGAGGCTGTTCATGTAGATGCCGACGCAGGTACGCTGACGCCAGCTACCACACGAATCAACATCCGAAATCGTCGGAAAACGCAGCGGAAATTTACTCTCTTCTAACGTCGCAACAGACACAGCTGTTCGTTGTCCCGGGGGAGGGAGGTCACAATCGATCGCGACCGCTCGAGGCAAGGATCCGGCGGTGCCAAGGAGTGCCTGTAAAATCATGACCGCGATGAGCAACTAACTAGTCCTCCTAGCCGGCTAGCACGTAACTCCTGGACCAAATGCATCCTCCATCGTCCCCCCCCTGGGAGGGATATTACACTCTAAAAAGTGGGGTAGGCTAGGAAAGTAGCA